GTTATAGACCAACAAGTGAAGGTAGAGAGGTAATCCTTTCCTATATGAAATTAATTATTTTAACCTATCTCCTTTTTGTTTTATGTACTCTGCAAAATAAAAATAAATTATTGCTTCTGAAAGTGAAACACACACAATTATGCTTGCTAATTCTAATTATAATTATATTTATAGTGTAAACCAAATGAAAAATATTTTGATAATGCCTAGTGAAAAAAATAACACTGTAATAAGCACCTCAGAACTGGAAAATCATGAAAAACATTATTTAGGAAAGTAGATACAAAAATATATCTCTTATATTCTTAGAAAAGCATGTCAAAAGAGTAAAGCTGTCAGACTTAGAATTATTTGAGAATTTAAAAATTGTGCAACTTAAATTTTTATTGAACAGGAGAAAAGGCTTTTTTGAGGCCAACTAGCCATTAATAATTTGCTTTTACAACCACCAGAGGGCACCAGTGCCTGTAGCATGTTGGTGTAGGTGTTATCTAACCTTTAGAAGATGCTTGAATTTGGATTCTGCAAAGCTAAGAAACGCCTTAAAAGAAAATTGATAATTTCTAAAAATATGTATATTTTTAAATTCAGGAACACCTAAGTAATTTTGGGCAGTTTTATTAAAAATGGAATTCACTGGACTGTTTCTGGTTAAGATTAACAGATTTTATTACGATTTCTGAATCAAGAATTTAATGGACAACTTTTAACAATGACTGAAAAGAGCATTACAGCATTACTAAAGCTATTAACACTAACAATTCTTTTAGCACCATACATTTAGCACCAAAATAGATGATAGTTTACACTTAATAAAAACTTTAATTGCAAAGAAACCTCAAAATTGTTGCAATTTTGGTGGTTGTAATGTGTTTTCAGCACCATTAATCAGTTAATTATTAAACTTTCTAAGTTTTTTATTGCTCTCTCATAAGTCAAAGTTATACCATGACACAGTCTTTAAAAATCATTTTGCATGTGTTTAAATATGTCTTTCCCCATAATTATAATTACAATATTTTTAAAAGCATAAATAAGCAAAGAGAATGTTACGCTGATAGAAATCTAACTTTACTCTCCTTAAATGCTTTGGTAGATAAAGGCTTCCATCCATGTCAAGATTTTCATCCTGTGATACTGCCCAACCTAGGGAAAATTTCTATACGGGGCAGATGAAGATCATCAACCTCAGGCTAAGCATTAGTTTTCCTTCATGGATACATTCAAATTATGTATTTAGTTTATGCATTCATAAAATAAGCCAGATATGAACACAAAACACTTAAATTGGCCTAAATGTATATGAGATTTTCTTAGGTAGATGTTATAATTTGATTTAACATAAGCATGCATTAATGAGAAAACATATATATTGTTTGAATTCAAATACTCAGAAATCATATTGGTTGAGCTTGCTCTAGCCATTTGGTCACCTCTGTGCTAAACCACCTAGAGCTTTCAAATGAACGTTTCCATGGTTTCAAGTGAGTATTATCTTACTGTCAAATGAAGTAGGTAAGGGTGATCTGATGGTCCAGAGAAGTGACGATACTTAAACTGAACAGAAGCAAAAAAGATAATAATAATTGCTTCTGCCACCTTTAAAAAAAATAGTTTAAATGGAGACAACTGTACCTTTTAGGATCAAATGGCCAAAGCAAGCTCAACCAATATGATTTACTCAGAATATCTGAATTGAAACAATTCATATGTTTTCTCATTAATGCATACAACTGTACCTGAACAACAATAAAAAAGTAAAAAATAAAATAAAATAAAGTTTTTAATTAAAAAAATCAAAGCAAGTTTATCTGTCATAACCAGGAACATTAAGACTATGCCTATACAGTTCAAATACAATTCTATAAAGAAATCCATCAGTTTAACAGTAAGAATTATAATTTCCCCAGTCTTTTGATGACATGAAAGTCAAAAAATCTATATTGTGACAGATTTTATTTTTACTCTTCTACTGGAAAAAGGGTAGCATGCAAAATCTATACCACAGAGAGGATCCATACTGTAGAATATGTATGCCAATTACTATCTTTTGAAAGAAACCGTTTGAAATGAAAACCCAGTACTGACTATTCCAAGCTGCTCTTATGAAATAGCTTATCCCCAGACCCTTTCTGCCTCTGGGAATTACAGTGAGAAATAGTTATCCTAGCACCATTGTTGCATGCCATAAAAATATGAAACACCGTGTTGATACTAGTAAACTGTCATTTGCTTTAGCCTGGGAAATAAAACATTTCACATGGCCACATCATATGACCAACTTTAAAAAGTACAGATAGAGTAACAAATATACCCGTTATATATTTCAGCTGAGTTGTTAAATTATAAATAAATTTACAGTTCTAGTTGTGATTTGGAATGCACTCTTGTATAAATTCTGTGTGTAAACCCTAGTCTTAATCTGATATGTTTGATGATTCATCTGGATTTTTGATGCATTCAAAGCTTTGTATTGAAGACATTTTGATCTTAATGAAACATAGAAAGGTGGGATTCCTCTGAATTGCTGCAGTTCTAGGCTTTTTAGTTAATTCTAAAAATCCATTCATATAAACATTTATTACATTATAGTTACTATATAAGAAGATGAGATAAATACAAAGAATTAAAGTTTCTGCTGAGGAAATGCTCATGAAAAACTTAATTCTATCTTAAATAAAAGTTTCACATTGATAAAAATTTAAATATTTATAAATTCTATTAATATGGTAATTTTACCTTTTTAGGAACTTCTGTGAAATATGTAGCAAATGTTATTATTTATTTTTAGAAGTGAGAAACCAAGCCACAAAAGTAAACCAGCAAGAATAGTCATTTTTGGTGTACTAGTTCTTTTCTACTTTGTGGACCTAGTATAGCAAAATCAACAATGGAGATACTTTCTACATAAATCAAGCAAATATCCTACTAATGAGATCTCTCCAATTGCCTATTATATGTTATATAAAATTTGGATTGGAGCATGAATCATATAATTATTTTCTTTTTTCATTTGTGTCTCCAAAATATTTATTTTTAATAATATCTATATATGTACACACATATATAGAAGCAGAGTAGTATGATATCAAAACATTTGGTCACCATATCTAGTTTGTAAATGGAATTGCGACAATTTTTTGTTATGTAAACTAAAACTCCAAATGGCGGATTTCTCCCCCATTGAATGGATTTCATTAACTACCTATAGTCTTTCAATGCTTTTGTCTTAAGAAATGTCAGTTGTGCAGGGAATTTTAAACAAGTAGCTTCCTTCTGTTAGTCACATTCTGGATCTAGCCATTTTTACTTATTCTGTAATTCTATGGAAGTATTGCAATATTACATAACCCAAATCAATCAATCTCTCTCTGTCTCTCTCTCTCTCTCACACACACACACATGCACGCACACACACAAACACACAGAGTATATATTGTGTTAAGTGTCTTGATCCAGATAATTGAGTTCTCTCTGCAACTAATTTCTCAAATGAGAAATTTCCATATTTTCATGAGTGGAATTTTCATACTGACTTTGATTTGACTTCTACAATCAAACTTAATTGATAACTGGAACATATTCTTCTGCATAGATACAGTAATAAAATTTGGTGATTAGTCCACAGAAAGTCATCTGAAGAGGGCTATTTGACAAATAAATCATAACTGTCTGTGGTGTGTACTCAGGGCCTTGCAGATAAGGCACAAAGATCCACGATGATCACATTGCTTCTCACCAAATAAAAACAATGAGAAATGGAGGTGTTTTGGGCACCTGGGTGTTTCTTTCTAGCATGCTGTGCCTCCTAGTGAACAGGCTTCAAGATACACTAGACCCTCACTGTGGGCTCTTCTGAAGCTATGCACCTGGTGTTTTTCTACAATAATCCTGTTCCTGTGACTTTCATACCTGTCTCCTAAATCTTACTTTTGTTGGCCTCTTCAGTTTTCCTAAGAGTCTTGGTTTCTGCCTTCCAATGTCACAACTATCTACTCTAATGCAGTAATTCTGGGAAGTTTTAATTCTTCCCTACCTCTTTTGGTTCCAAGCACTGTAGGTAAAATTCCATGCTAATCAAAAGCCTTATATTTTACACAATGTGACTTATCACATATTCAACCTACAGGTAAACATCATTGTTTAATTCACTTCCTTAAGGCAACATGAAAATTAATGTTAAAAAATAATTTTTACAGCAAAGTCATTAGGCTGTATTATTTCCTGAATATTTTGGGAGCTTCTTGAAGGCAGGAATCATATCTCACTGACTTTGCATTATCAGAGCATAAATAGCAGAGTGTCTTGCATGTGGTAAGCACTCAGCACAAGACTACTGACTCAACAGAAGAGCTTAAGCAAAAGGCGTGATGTGAAACTTTCATAAGTTTGAACACATCCTTTTGTGGACCCAAATAAGATGAAATGTCTCCAGAATGAAATTTGTAGTTGCTTAATTAAATTATTATATCCAGATGCCACTGAAGGTAATTTTGCAAACTATCATTTTGTCGTTATTATAGAGGTGGATGCTGAGATGTCCCACCACCTCACATATATTTGGAATAGAACATTTTTAATTTCCCACAAGTTAACTACTAAATGATATTATTATCTATGTGTTACATCATCTATTACATTTGTGTGTGCATGTATCTCTCTCTATATATACATATATATGTATATATGTGTGTGTGCATATATACGTGTACATACACACATATATATGCACACACACATCTTACAGGTCACATATAGTTTTTATTCTTTAGGAACATAACATAATTATTTTGGGGAAAACAACTTTTAGAATTGGATGACTCAATTATGTCAATACTACATATAAAATATTTTAATTTATGCTTAGAGGTCAGAAAATAGAAATGGATGTTTTGATGACCTTAAAAGGTCAAAGCAATATACTAGGCAAACACTAGTTTATACAATGAATATTAAAAGGAAAACAAGATTATTATAAAATATATATAATATGTGCAAAACTCAATATGTATATAGACCTATGATTCACAGAAACCATTCTGTGTCCCGGAAGAATAGATAAGCTTATTTAAACCAGTATAGGTAGTTTGACGTTACTCCTGGAAAACAAAGGTTGTCAGTACAAGATCCCCCATAACTTGGAGGACAGGCTGAACATGGTACCCCTACTTTATATGGTGCTTCTCCAATCCAATTGCCCCTGTAAAGAAAAAGAAAAAGAAGGTAACATTAATGTTACTTGGTCATTTAAAAAAATTTTGATAGTCCTTAAGCTCATGATCACATGTATTGACATGTGATGATCTTTTTGAGAAGTTTTCATTTTTGAAAGGCACTGAAAGTTATGTCCATTTCTTATTTATACAGTAACTTATTCTATATATCTTACTTTTAAGTATTTCCTCTCTGAGTTAACATTGTTTTAATTTATAGATGACAAGTGACTCACTGCAATGAACGGCAACATCAGCCATTACCCGGCCCCTGCCAGTTGCCATGCTGGTCTCTGTCCTGCAGCCGTCACCTAGAGTGCACAGGCCACATGCACTTGAAAACAATCACACTGGTGACATTCTAAGGAGAGTAAAATCATATGCACTGTGTACATATGTGTGTACATATGGAAGTACACAGGTGTGTGCACACACATAGTACTTCCTGGGATGCTTAGAAATGGTGAAATGAGCAGGAAGTTGTCATAAGTACAAAACATAGTTATAAATGTTCACAAGATTTGTTTATAAAGTTGTAAAATATTGTAGATTCTCATTATAAAATGAATTCTGGAACACTCCATCCTTATAGAAGTTAACTGAACACATTTAACTGAATTACTTTATGTTCTTAATGTTTTTCTTTATCTATATTGGTGACCCTGGTCAAAATCAGAAATCAATTTATTATTTGAGAGTAGAAAACAACCACAATGCCTTACTGTTATTTAGCTCCTTTAATCATAAAAGAGAAAGTAATAAATATATTTTCCATGGCCCGGTGATTAGCAACTAGAGTACTAGAAAATAACAACATAGCCAACAATGTGAAGGAAATTGAATGGTCAGGAGACAATTTGGTTGTTAATAATAAAAAGTCAAGGTAGTATGTGAGACAACAGTAGGTAAGAGGCAAGAATATGAGACAGGTGGTTGCAATCTTCTTTAAGACCTAAGTATGACCAAGCAGCAGCTCAGAATGTATCTACAGGACATGAAGCTATCTGCTTAAATCAGTTAGTTAAAAATTCACACTTTAATCCATAAAGTACTTACTATAAACAGCAAAACCATGATGATTATTCATGTTACAAAATGAAGTGAGATTCCAGGACTGTCCACTCTATCCCCTTTGTTCTACACTCTGACCCCCAGATAAGCTTCCTCAAGCATAATTTTGATAATGTCACAAGCTTGCTAAGAAATGTTAGAGGGGCCCATTCTCTAATGAGTGTAGCTCATTCATTTTTCCTAATCTCTCCCATGCTATATTCAAAATTTATTTCCTTATGTATCTTTATCCAAAGCTACATCTTTAGCAAGTCTCTGCTACTTTAAATATATATTTTTCTATGTATTCTACATTACTTTATGAAGTTATAAAGCACATATTTTTGCTAACATAAATTTAGAAATATAATTTTATGCTATGTAAAAATTATATATAATAAACTTTTACATAAATCACAGATTTATTTAATATAAAATAATTATATTAAATAGTAAATCAGTCAATTAATAAACTTATTATTTATTCTTTTATTTTTTGTCCTAGTCCATGTAATTAAATTCTCCCTCCCTATCTCTCTGTGTCTTTCTCCCTCTCCCCTACTTTTTCCCCTGAAAAACATTAGGCTTGAGATAACTTCATATTGACATCAGAAGAATCATATTCACATGTCAGAATTTTAAAAGTTTCTTCATGGCCTAAGTTTCAAAATAATGTTTTCATTACAACAAATGTAGCATGTAAACACAATATCTTAATCTCTTGGAACCATAAAACAATCAAATCTTTCATCCATAGTATTAGAAATTCTAGTCATTAGCCAAAAACAGAAAAATTAAATGAATGAAATAAAAATCTCTTTCATCATTTGGGGCCTACTTGGCCTATTTATGTCACAAGCTTAGGTAAAAGCTTAACAGGAAAATATAAAGAGTGAGAGTGAAAATATCAAACAAATGCACAGTTGAATGCTTTTCATGAAACAGACACATTTTATTTTCCAAATCTCATTGTTCTAAAAATTGTGAAGAGGGGTCCATCGGGGAAATTGCTATTTTTATAACTTTGCAAAATCACTGATGTACTACCACGTAAATGAGTAATGCAGTTCTCATTCCCCTTCCATACTGGCAACACTGGAGAAAATCTTTGTTTGGGACTTACTTTGAAAAACACCAAGAGTGTCATAAATCCTTTGCACATTTTGGCATTTACTCCAAATAGGAACAGACTCATGAATAAATATTGGACTCTTTTATCATCTGAAGAGTTATTGTTATCAAAAAGGCATTTTATCAAATGTTAACACATGCTTATTTATTATAAAAAAGTTGGTAGATATGGTCATATTTTAGAATCTTTAATCAACTTTCACAATACTTTTTACATAAGCCAGAGGATGAAATTACTGAATACTTTTAATATGAAATTTAAATCATGACAAAGCCTCAGTTTAAAAAGAAGTCATAGCTTGTAAATTTCCCCTTGTGATATTGAATGCCTCCTTAACCATTTATGGAATTAATAAAATATAATTTTAAATTTTACTCTTAAAACAAGGAAGGAAGAAAGGCTTGTTTTGTTTTCCTGTTGAAAAGGTAAGTCAACATTCCAGCACTGAGGTGGAAATTTTGTGGTGGAAATTCCCTAGACGATTGTGTTCCAATGCCTTTTTATGTAGCTATCAAAAGCCTGGAAATACAAAATTCATTTTACAATTACCATAACAAAGGAAAGGTAGCAAGAAGCATTTAGTCAATGTCCATACTCGTAATGTTTTGCCACCAATTTTAGGCCAGAATCCCTTTCCTCCTTAAAAGAAATCTTCAGCTCATCATGTTTTAGGTACATGGGAATAATTGAGGATTCAAGATTAGAAGCCATTTTAGTTAAGTCCTAGTCATATTAAAATGCCTATCAGACTGAAGGTGTTTATCATCGTGAAAGGTTCAAGTAAGTAGTATGCCACCTGGAACTTACTTTGGGGCATAGTTGCATACCAAGTACACTGCACGTCGCCACACAGCTCCCCACACATTCATATTTTGGCAAGTATGAATTGCACATCCTATCCGATTGGAGGTGGCCCAAACCATCTGCGAAAATAAAGCAGTATGCCATTACTGAAGTCAGGGCTAAGAAAATTCATGTTCACCAAAACAGTTAAGACCATTTTTTAAAAGTATGAACCCAAAATAAAAGAGACAATTGATATAACCTGTGTATAATGTGTACACATTGGGCCAAAACATCTCATAGGACATCTGGGGTTGCAGTCCTGGGGATACGGAAAAGCATAGTCTTTCACTTCATCATACCATGGCTTGACCAGCTGCAGAATAGAGCGGTATCTAAGTATCAAGAGAAACAAAAAATACTTAGGGCACAGGTAGACTCAAGTTGAAAGTTAATATGAGTCTTGTTCATTTTGCAGATTATTCATGCTGAATCAAGAGTATACACACCCCTCACAATTACTAACACCACCTCACAGAATCCTCTATTCCTTCAAATAGGGCTAACATAAAAATGCCCAGAGCTGGAGCAAGTGATCCTGTATTTGTGTAAGTATATGTCTGGTCATTTCAAAAACAGACATGCAAATATATCAGGAATCATCATCTTTACCTTGTTTTATCTATGTCAAAAATTTCTTCCATCAGAATATTATACACAATTAAGAATTGATATATAAAAGTTTTTGCAATACTGGAACTCAGTGTGCTTTTTTTCTTAGGCTTATATCACTTTAATTTCAATAATAGCACACCTGGTTTCCTCCCCAAGATGGAAGAGAATGGGTCTTTGGAATTGGATGATAACACTCCACAGTGCAAGGAAAATTATCCCATCAATGGGAAAAGCTTTCCCATAGTTGCATATACTTGCATATGTATTTGTGTATGTGCATACACATAAGCATGCAAATATGCATAATTTGTAGAACACACATGCAGATATATGAAACCATGGGAAAGCTGCAGACACACAAGATTGGTTTCTGTTGCAGTCAAAGGTTGTGTTTTAAGGTAGAAGAGAAGGGATACAAGGTATAGCACATGCCTGATCCTTTCAAAGATTCTGGCAAGTAAGTGAAGAACACAGGCTTAAGGAAGCTGCCTCAAGGGTCAAAGAAGGAACTGGTCTTATTAGGCCCTTTTAACCAGTTAAATGCTCCTTGAAAATATCTAAATTAGTCATTGGTCAAGCATCCATGTTTGGCACATAGTAAGCCCTCAATAAATAGTTGTCAATATTACTTGAAATGTGTACCACTCCCCTTTGGAACCTAATGAAGTTGTGTGGATGAATGGTGTCAGTAAAACTGCTTCCTACCTTCCAGTTCTCACAGATAAATTTTGGCCAAAAAATCTCAGTAAGTAAGAAGGTCCATGGTCCCAAATGCAAGTAGCTGCCCAAGCCTCGGCAGATTTTGCGAGATTTTCATCCCAAACCTGTGAAGGGGAAAAAGTCTTCAGCTTTACCAGGTTTACTAGTAAGAAAGTAAAAGTAAGAAGAAAGAAATGGTGCTACTGTTTACTAAAGTTCTTTGAATTCTGACTTCTGAGACTGTTTTCACTGAAAGAAGGCAAATTCAGACCATTGATACTTAAAGTTCTATAATGTAATATGATTGTACCACAAAAAACTTTTTTGCTTTTATAGTACTCCTATATCAGAAGTCTAGAAATCAGTTTTAGTAAAGGGTAGGTTAACAAAAATACCATAACTAGATGTGATCTGGGACACCTCATACTGAACACTGAAATTTGAATCCACCAAAGTCAATTGATTTCCCTAGGGGTCACCTTCAGAGCAACTAGGAGCCATGCTATCCATATATCTCCAAAACTAATATGATCAAACTTATTTATTCAGTTTATCAAAATTAATAATGTTTAATATACTGCAACTTTCAAAGGTCAAGCTATGTTATAATGTAATATATCCCATGGAGACTTCATATTTTATATTATTTGAATCTTTGGTACTAATAATAATATGAGAATTCCTTTTATGTTGCTACAAACTATGATAAAAAGTAACTTGACTATGTTGTGTGGGGCTGCCATAAAAATATTTTACATTGTGATTTAAATAAATAGCAATTGTTCTCGAACAATTTAATTGACAAGGGTGTTATTAATATATAACTTTTCCATAGATAAAAATTTTGTGGCAAAAAATTTAAATGAACCTTAGATTTAGTATACATTTATATTAGTTATCATATGGATTGATATTCCCATGTCTGAAGCTCTATGGGGAAATCAATCTCTAAATATTTGTGGGCCTGCCAATAATAAAGTAACACTAACCCAATCATCTATTTTCTAGCAAGTTAAAAGGTACAAAACATAAATTAGAGAACATTATAATTCTGGTACATAAATATAGGAAAAAATGCTTTCAGAATTTCTCCCTAATGAACATATAATTTAGTGAAGTATTTATCTGTTGGAAAAATGGTTTCAATTTTTATACTTTAATTCCAAACCATAACATCATTTTCTAAAATACATAAATATTTATATACTGTCTGAAAAAAATTGTTCAAATTGTGATTAGACAGTGGATTTAATATATATATTTTATTTAATCTTTATTGTATTTTTCTCCAGTACCATTTAGTCCCCTTATACCGTCCTCCCCCCTGCAATCATGTTGTCCATGTCCATTAGTCCTTTGTTGTTTTTGTTCAATAACTCCACCCCTCACCTCCCCACACCCAGTTATACTGTCAACCTGTTCTCCATCTTACTTGTTCACTAGATACCACATGAGTGAAATCATATGGTATTTTTCTTTCTCTGACTAGCTTATTTCACTTAGTATGATGACTTATAGGTCCATCCTTACATTTTTTTATGGCAGAGTAGTATTCCATTGTGTAAATATACCATAGTTGTTTTATCCACTCATCTATTGATGGACATGTGGGCTGCTTCCATATCCTGGCTATTGTAAATAATGCTGCAATTAACAAGGGGTGCTTATGTTGTTTAGAATTAGTGTTTTGGGTTCCTTCAGATATATTCCCAGAAGTGGGACTGCTGGGTCCAAAGGCAGATCCGTTTTTAATTTTTTGAGGTTATTTCCATACTGCTTTCCACAGTGGCTGCAACATTCTGCATTCCCCTCAACAGTACAAAAGGGTTCCCTTTTTCCACATCCTCGCCAGCACTTGTTATTTGTTGATTTATTGATGGTGGCCATTCTGACAGGTGTGAGAATGATATGTCATTGTGGTTTTAACTTACATTTCTCTGATGATTAGTGACATTGAGCATCTTTTCATATCCCTATTGGCCATCTGTGTGTCCTCTTTGGAGAAGTGTTTATTCAGGTTTTTTACCCATTCATTTTGGTGGGGTGGGTAGCTGTTTGTTTTTTGGTGTTGTTTTTGTAACTTCTTTATATATTTTGGACATTAATCCCTTATCAGATGTTCTTCCATTATGGGGGTTGTCTTTTTATTTTGTTGATGATTTCCTTTGCTGTGCAAAATCTTTTCAGTTGGATGGAGTCCCATTTGTTTATTTTTTCTTTTGTCTCCTTTGCCTGGGAAGATATATGCAATAAAATATTGCCCTGAGCAATGTCCAAGATTTTGCAGTTTATGTTTTCTTGTATGATTTTTATGGTTTTGGGTCTAATACTTAGACCCAAAAAACAAACTACTTTTATTTGTTTTGAATTTATTATTGTGCATTGTGTAAAAATGTGACCATTTCATTTTTCTGCAATATCTGTCCAATTTTCCCAACACCATTTATTGAATAAACTATTTTTAGCCCATCATATGTGCTAGCTCCCTCTGATGATTATTAATTGACTATAAAGGTGTGGATTTATTTTTAGGCTCTCTATACTGATCCAATGATCTATATGTCTGTTCTTAGGCTGGTACCATGTTGTTTTGGTCACTGCGGACTTACAGTATAGTTTGTTATTAGGTAGTGCGATTCCTCCAGCTTTGTTAGTCTTTCTCTGGATCTCTATTGCTATGTGGGGCCTTTTGTGGTTACATATAAATTTTTGAAATATTTGTTCTATTTCTGTGAAATATGTCACTGGACTCTTGATAAAAGTTGTGTTGAATCTATAAAGTGCTTAGGGTAGTGGGTACATTTTAATGATGTTCATTCTTTCTATACATGAACATGGTGTATGCTTCCACTTATTTGTATCTTCTTCAATTTTTTTCTTCAGCGTCTTACAACTTTCCAGGTACAGGTCTTTTACATCTTTGGTTAGGTTTATTCTTTTTAAAGTAATTGTGAATGGGATTATTTTCTTAATTTCCATTTCTGTTCATTTGTTTTGGCATATAAAAGTGCAACTGATTTCTGGACATTAATTTTGTATCCTGCTACTTTGCTGAATTCATTTGTCAGTTACAATAGTTTCTTGGTCGAATCTTTGGGATTCTGTATGTACAGTATCATGTCATCTGCGAATAATGAGTATTTTTCTTCTTCCTTTCCAATTTGGATGCTTTTTATTTCTTCTTATCTGATTGCTATGGCTAGGACTTCCAGTACTATGTTAAATACGAGTGGTGAAAGGAGACATCCCTGTCTTGTTCCTGATGTTAAGGGGACATTGTAGATTTTACCTGTTGAGTATGATGCTAGCAGTGGGTTTGTCATATATGGCTTTTATTATGTTTAGGCATATTCCCTGTATTCCCACTTTGCTGAGAATTTTATCGTAAATGGGTGCTGGATTTTTTTGCATCCGTTGATATTATCATAAATATCATTTTGTTTACATGGGGAATCACATTTATTGATTTGTGAATGTTGTACCAACCTTGCATGACCTCTTTGATACATTGCTATACATCAGTTTGCTAATATTTTGTTGAGGATTTTAGCATCTACATTCATTAGGCATATTGGCCTATAATTTTCTTGCTTTGTAGTATCTTTATCTTGTTTTGGAATTAGGATCATTCTGGCCTTGTAAGTGAGTTTGAAGCCTATCATTCCTCTTAAATTTTATGAAGTACTTGAGAAGGAGAGGTGTTGGTTCTTCTTGGAATGTTTAGTAAAATTCACCTGTGAAGCCATCTAGTCCAGGGCTTTTGTTCGTTGGTAGTTATTTTTATTACTGCTTCAATTTCACTAGGTGAATCTGTCTATTCAAATTCTCTGTTTCTTCCTAATTCACTTTGTAAGGTTGTTATGTTTCTGGGAATTTATCCATTTTGTTCAGGTTGTCCAGTCTGTTGAGATACAGTTATTCATAACATTTCCTTACAATCTTTTATATTTCTTTGGTGTCAGTTGTTATTCCTCCTCTTTCATTTCTGATTTTACTTCTCTTTTTTTCTTGATGAGCATAGGCAAAGGTTTGTCAATCTTGTTTATCTTTTCAAAGAATCAGCTCTTGGATTCATTGATCTTTTGTACCTTTTTTCAGTCTTCATGTCATTTATTTCTGCTTTGATCTGTATTATTTCCTTCCTTCTATTCACTTTATACTGTTTGTTGTTCTTTTTCAGGTTCCCTTAAGTGTAAATTAGATTGTTTATTTGAGCTTTTTCTTGTTTTTTTTTTTGAGATAGGCCTGCAATGCAAGAATTTTCCTCTTAGGATTGCTTTCCCATTTTCCCACAGATTTTTGATTGTTGTGTCTTCATTTTCATTTGTTTCAAGGTATCTCCTGATCTTTTTCCTTAAGCTCATTGTTGATCCATTCATTGTTTAATAACATGGTATTTAGCTTCCATGTCTTTGTGTGTTTTTTATTGTTCTTGTGATTGATTTCTGGTTTCATAGCATTATGGTTAGAGAAGATACTTCATATTATTTCAATTTCTTAAATTTATTAAGACTTGTTTTGTGTCCAAATTTGTGGTCTATCTTAGAAAATGCTCTATGTGCACTTGAAAACTATATATATTTTCCTGCATTGGGGTAAAATGCTCTAAAGATATCAAATAAATCCACTTAATCCAGTGTGTCATATAAGACCACTGTCTCTTTGTAGATTTTCTGTCTGAAAGATCTATCCATTGAAGTCAACGGGCTGTTAAAATTCCCAACTATGACAATATTTTTGTTGATCTCTCCCTTTATGTCCACCAAGACTCACTTTACATATATAGGTGCTCCTATGTTGATTGTGTATATGTTTACTAGGGTTAGAGCCTCTCATAGGAGGGTCCCCTTTATCATTATGCAGCATCCTTCTTTGTCTCTCACCATAGCCTTGGTTTTAAAATCTATTTTGTCAAATGTAAGTATTGCTATCCCAGCTTTTTTTTCCTTTTCCATTTGCATGCAATATCTTTTTCATCCCTTTACTTTTAGTCTGTGTGTATCTTTCAATCTGCAATGTGTCTCTTGGAGGCAACATATATATGGGTATTGTTTTCTTATCCATTCAGCTACCCTATATCTTTTGGTTGGAGCATTCAAGACATTTACATTTTAGGGATTTTTTT